CTACCCCGAAGCCCGACCCACCTACCAACAGGACCTCCGTCTTGTCTGGATTGAGCTTCAGTTTATTGGCCCTCATCTAGCCCATTACCTCGGCCAGGCACCGGTTCAGCACAGCCACTGCCTCACCTGGATTGGTGGAAAACGAGAGGTAGAGCTGGGTATCATCAGCGTACTGATGATTCCACAGCCCACACCTCCTGATGACCTCTCCCAGTGGTTTCATGTAGATGTTGAATAGCAAGGGGGAAAAATAGACCCCTGCGGAACGCCATGGCATAGCTGCCATGGTGCAGAGGTAAAGTCCCCTAGCACCACCTTCTGGAATCGGCCGTTGAGGTAGGAGTGAAACCACTGCAAAGCAGTGCCTCCTACTCCCAGTCCCCTTAGCCTATCCAGAAGGATACCATGGTCGATGGTATCGAAAGGCGCTGAGAGGTCCAGGAAAACCAACAGGGACTCACTCCCCCTGTCTTTCTCCCTGCACAGGTCATCATACAGGGCGACCAAGGCACATTCAGTGCCGTACCCGGGTCTGAAGCCGGACTGAAATGGGTCCAGATAATCAGTCTCAACCAAGAGAGCTTGTACTTGTCCCGCCACCACCTGTTCCAACACCTTGCCCAAGAACGGGATGTTGACCACCAGTCTATAATTGGCGGCCATCTCTGGATCCAGGGACGCCTTCTTTAGGACTGGCCTGACCACCGCCTCCTTTCGAGAGGCAGGCACCCGGCCGTCCCTCAGAGAGGTGTTGATGACCTCCAGGAACCAGGCACCAATCCCGTGTCTGGCTTTAGACAGTAGCCACGACAGGCAAGGGTCAAGTAAACAGGTGGTGGGACGTACTTGTCCAAGCACCTTGTCCACATCATCAGGCCACAATAACTGAAACTCATCCAACAATATGTGACCAGACGGTAACATTGGCACCTCCCCTAAGGAATCTGAGTCACTAGTGGAGTCCAGCTTGTGACGAATCTGAGCGACTTTCTCCTTGAAGTGCTGGGCAAAGTCGTCACAGCGGGTTATCAAGGGTGGTACAGGATCTTTCTTAGGGCCTGGATGTACCAGAAGTATTAACAGAAGTATTAACTGAGCAAGTGCTTGGGTGAAAGTCGGACGGCCTCCACACAGTGGGAAAATGGGCCTGCCTGCATACAATCTTGAGATATATTCACTAGAGAACAGACCCAACTTCAAACAGGTTGGGATTGTCTTTTTTGTGAAAGCTTCAAGCAAACTTGCACAGTTGGCAGAGTTGGACACAAGGCACCTGCCCTGTCTGAGTGAGGCTACTTCTTGTCATGGTGAAGCCCTGTAAGGAGGGCTCCATCCACTCCATTCCCCTCAAAGGGCTCTGGCTGAAAGCAGCGGGGTGCGGACAGGCATACAACTCTGCCTCCTAACCTCCCCTGGTTTAAAACTGTGCCACTCAGGGAAGTCTCTTCCTAATCGCTGAAGAAATTGCTGCAGGCAACAAGATGGATGCATTTGGATTTTTAAAGTTTATGTTTAACTTTGTGGAGCTAGTTTAAACTTAATGAACTTTCCGAACAAAATAACCTTCCGTGTGTACACTGCTAGGGTCTCTTTACTATGCATGCTGCATTTCAGGTGTCTGTTGTTATCTGGTGTGCCACCAAGTCCTCCCCGACAGAGCCAAGCTCAAGGAACCAAGGTTCAGTTTGGATGCTCGGAAGTACTTTCTGATGGTTAGGACCCCTAGGATATAGAATGGGCTTCCTTGGGAGGTGGTTGAAGCCCCATCACTGAGGGTGTTCAAGGGTAGGCTGGACATGCACATGGAAGGCATGTCATGAGCAGAGCTGCTGGAGCCAGGGGTCAGACTAGATGGCCCGGGAGACCCCTTCTGACTCGCTCTGTTTCTATGTTATAGCAACTCGATGAATAAATATCCTCTGAACAGGCCTGTCCTTGAATCAAGGCTGTGGCTTCCTTTATGAACTGACCTGACCCATCTGTTACATGGTCTTCCCCTTCTTCTTTCGCTTTCGACTTTCCCTAGTCTTCTCCAATGAGTCTGGCCTTCTAATACTGTGCAACCGCTTCAGTTTGGTTCATTTGCTTCCAGAGCAAGTTCTGACCTGATTTGATCTAAGACCCACTTGTTCAACTTTCAAGAGTTTAGGATTTTGCATTCCAAGCGTTTGGGTTCCACACTCTTAGAGCTGCAGCACTGGTGGATGGTTGGACAGTCACATGCGCTCTTTTGTTGTCGTACTTAGAGAGGAAAGAAAAGGACGCCCACTCTGGTCTCTGCCATGTGAATCAGCTGCTTCTTGTTGTTCTTTAGGCTAGACCAGCACCCACGTTACAGGCACAAGCAGTTTCCTTGCTGGGTGGTTTTGTGCAGTTGTGTTGAAATGGAAACTTGATCGGAAGAGGCCCCGCCTAGCACAAGACTTGTGCCCATCAAATTTGCATTTGGCAAGGTGCATGTGTTTTAAGCTTGATGAGCTTCAAGTTGCGTGCTTCCCCATCAACTGAACAAGTTACTCTGTTTCCTTAAATCAGTCTTTAATCTGATTAATCAATGAGAGCTCATCAGTGTAGCGGAGAGTTAAGGACACTTTTGCTGATCTTGTGTGGTTACATGAAATGCAGCTGAAATGTGTCTCTTTCCTTGCTTGTCATGCTTTTACCATTGACTGAGTAGACCTGAAGAGGCTTACCCTGGTTACTTCTCAATAAACATGCTGTCTATGTCTCTGACTGAATAAATATGCAAAAGTGTGCTATTTGGGAGGCTATCAGAGAATCTTCTGAATGATTCAGTCCTGTTTATATTTCACTAACATTGGTAAGATTCTCCTTTCATTGCTGCCCGCTCTACTTTTGGAACTGCCTACTGGTGGAATGTCTCCACCCTCCCCAGAACTTTCTCAGATGTGAATTTGGCCTTTGGATTGAAAAAGAGTCTCCAATCCTGCCCTATGCATATATGAAATGACCTTGGGGTGGTCATGTGTCCTCTTTTACAGAGGTTAGTGCTCTATCTGAAGGGCTGTGGGAGAACAGTCCAGTGTGAAAACATTTTCTTTTTGAAGGGTTGGCCAGTCCAAGTCTGATTTAAAGAAAGGGAATCATAAGAAGGCAGAACAGGGGAGCTTTGATTCTGCGGATAAAGGGAACACTCCTGGATGGCGGACTGAGCACGAAGCCCACGGGCACCTGCAGGCTGTGGCTCCAGGGTCTGGAGGTTCTCCAGGGTCTTGAGCAGGATGTCCTTCCCATCACCTGCTATGTGACCATTTCAGTGGAGACGGCAGGGAATGCCCTGAGTGGCCTTTTGCATGCAAAGCATGAGCGAAGGCCATCAATGACCTTCTAACAAAGCAATGACCCTCAGGCAGAACTCACTGTGTGATGTGATCTCAGTTCCCCACTTCCTTTCATGGTACCATTTCATGTCCTGGTATAACCTGGTATAATAACTAACCAATAGAGTTATTACAAGTCATAGGGAAGACTGGGAGGAGGGGCTCTGGGCTCACAGGAGCTCGGTGTCTCTCAAGGAGCAATTCTATGCATAATGTGGATAGGGAGAAGCCCTATAGCTCCCAGCATGTCCCAGCCAGCACAGAGGGGAGTTGCAGAACCTCTTCCTGCATAACATGCATGGGATTGCAACCTTACAAGACATCATGCCTTTTCTGAGGATTAAAAAACAATCTGAGAAAAAATTAGTCTTAACTCCAGTTGTAAAATCCATCCCTAGTACTGGGACCTGAACAAAATGCTGGAGTGACTTTATTTTTTGGTGAGGTGGGGATATTCCATTGCATCCCCAGCTGCTAGTTTTCTGTGCTCTGTACGGTCAGCACTGTGTGCCCACTGGGAATGCTCTGTCCTTAATGGACCAGTTCTTAGGGCAGGGGGAACCGGCATTCCCCCCACCACAAAGGGTTTTGGAAGTTCTGCAACCCGGAGATTCCCAGTCCTGCTGTTAGCACCCTCTTGTGCATGGATGCTGCCATTTTGGTCACCTAAGAATTGCCACTAGGAGTGGGAGGACAATATGAGTGATAGAATGCCTTAAATCCATTTGTAATGAATGTGCAGCTTTATCCACGTAATCATCTATCCATTGAAGCCAAATAATTAATGAGAGAGAAATCTTTAATCGGTGCACAGCTTTATTTTCAACTAATCTTTCCATGCCGCTTTGTGCTAATTACCTCTGGTATGCAGGAAGCAGTCTGGCAAGCTGCCTGCTAGTAAAAGGGCGTGCAATTTTAGTTAAGGCTTTTAAATTCACCTTCATTTCTGTTCCTAGCTGAGCCTTACCGGTTCATAATTCAGACAAAACTATGAGGCAGACCCTGCGGACAAAATCAGTTGGAATATTTAGAAAGTGTCATTTACATGAAAATGGAAGAAGAGACATGTTGGATCTGACCACAGGCCCAGCAGAGGCCAAAGAGACCATGGCCAAGCAGAGTCACAAGGACATCAGGCTCCTGGATCAGACCAAGAGTCCATCTAGGCTAACATTCTGTTCCTACGGTGGCCAAAAGGGCTGTAATTCCATCCCACCCATGGTCCCTATGGTGGATTTGACCAGAGTCCTGTCAGTGGCCAACCAGATGACTCTAGGAAGCCCAAGAGCACAGGATGAGTGCAATGACCCTTTCACACATGCGATCCCCAGGAACTGGTACTCAGAGGTGTGCCTTGTCTGAGGTTGAAGGTGATCTATGGAAAGATGTTTAAAGAGCAGAGGCTGATCAATAGAAAAATGCCTCTCCCCAAAGAAAAACCTGAATTTGGGCTTGCTGACGTTTGGGCTTCATTAGGAACTAGGGCACGATTATTTCCTGCACAGAGTAATTCTCTGTGTTGCAGAGCGATGATTTACGATGCACATAGGTGTAAATAGAGGTGCATTCTTTTATCTAAATATAGATAAATTAGATCTGCCGATTCAAGTCCCACACTGCAACTTACCCAGCGTAAAGTTGTTGGTTTCCTCCCCACAGGATGGGCTTACAAGAAAATCTCAAGGTCAGCTGTAAAGAACTGGAGAAGACGCTAGATAATGAGATGCTGGAATGGAGGAAATATTTTTTAAATAAATTGAGGCTGAAAACAAAGGTAAGAGGAACATTTGCAGCAGCTGGAATCGGGTGCATGTGGGTTGCTTACCTCGGACTTTGCAATATACTTGTCCCAAATTCCTTGATTTGTGGTCACTCCGGTCATTTGTGTGGGTCTGCACCAAGACATCTCGATCCTTTTCTTGCTAAACTGGGGTTAATGGGAAAGATTTGTTTGGGGCAAATGCTTTCACCCTGATGCTTTCTGGAATTTCACCCTGATGATGGCTCAGTTCATATAAACCAACATCCCCTTGTCATCCTAATGGAAACCGGCTTTTGCTAGTTTGAAGCAGATGATGGTCTTGGACAGAATATCAAGAACACTGCAGCACTCCAAGTGAATCTCCACAGCTCATTGACCTGCTGTCCGGTTCCACTTAGTTTTCCTCTGATTTACATATTAATTTGTTCCTGCCTTCTTAATACAACTGCCAGCTGGTGGAAAGGGCTTATATTTATCTAGGGAAATACAGTTTGGGGATTAGCAACAACCAGCATACAGGAAGCCGTCTTCCCAGAAATGCATAATCCTTTAATGCAGTGAAGCTCATACTGTAAATTCTTGCACACCACCCTTGACAATTAATATGGAAACTTGTTCGGCTCCCTGCCATTCTCCTGTGCTCCTAAACTGTCTCTGTGGTCTCGCATCCTTTGTCCCCCACAGATTTGTAGTGCTGCCTTAAGAGTCAGCAAGGAGTTCAGGGACAGACACAAAGCCTAGCAGCATGTGGGGCGGGGGGAAGGGGGGGGGCTTCCAGGCCACCCCCTTAATCTGGCACATGGAGGTTCCCTATTTGGAGCCAGTCAGATGATGTGCACATGTAAATAAGAGAACTCGGACAGATTTTTTTTTAAAGAAGAAAAACCCTGTTTCCCCAAAAATAAGACCTAACCAGAAAATAAGCCCTAGCATGATTTCTCAGGATGCTCATAATATAAGCCCCACCCCAAAAATAAGCCCCAGCTAAGATCGTCAGCCAGACAGATGCATTTAGTACGTCCGTTGTAACACAATTTGGGGTTTCGAGAGTTATTTCCAGAAGATGACATGACTGTATTTGAATAAATGTAGATTTTTGTACATGAATAAATGTAGATTGTTGTACACAAAAAAACATCACCTGAAAATAAGCCCTAATGTGTCTTTTGATGCAAAAATTAATATAAGACCCGTCTTGTTTTCAGGGAAATACGGTAGCTGCTAGAGGTGGTGGTGGGGAGCCAAGGAATAGCAGGAGGAATACTTACCCCTTCCTCCCTTGGTACTTCTTCACTTTATTTTTCTTCTCCCCAGTTTTCCTCATTGGCACATTCAGAATTAGGAGATGTGACAGCACATTTGGAGGCAGGAAGCAAGATTTGGAGTCCAGCAATAGGTAGGGAAAGGGTTAAGCATGATTTCCCTCACCAGCTTCAAACCATCCCTGCCCAAATCTGCTTCTCCTTAACAAACAGACATTGTTTGGTTTGGCTGCATGTGTTTGCCTGGCTCACAAAGCCCAGGGCCAGCTGGAAGAGGGTTGCCCTCACTAGAGAAGCATGCCTGTCCAGGCCCAAGGGAGAGCAACAAATAGAACCTGAAGCCAGCCAAATAATGTTGGCACTTGCGGTAGAAAATCCCACAAGTGCCTTGCCCCAGAAATTAAAATACCAGGATGATAACTCCAAGAACTCACCAGCCGCTTTCCCTTTGTGGCGCCTCACTCTGCACAACGGTAGGGCCGGTCCTAGGAAGGCCGCCTTGCAAAATGGATCCCTCTTGACACACACCAAATGCCTGGCCGCACTTGGCGCTCAGTTGTCCCCTGTGGTGTGGATTCTCCCTTTGCACTGCCGATGCTGCAGCAGTGAGATCATTGCAAGGCCTGGAGCAAAAGCGTTCCAGGATTTGCTGGTGCAGGTGATGCGGCAGCTAATAGACACTTCCAGGTGTATCTGCATGACTTGGGGCCCAAGCAACTGGGCTGAGCAGGGAGCACAATGGAGGGAATATCAGCCAGTTTGCAGGGAGCCGACTGAACAGAAATCTGCATGTGTCGCAGAGGGGAGTCTAAAAGTGCAGCGGTTACCTAACTTTAATTCCAAACAGCAGGGTGCCCCAGGTAGCAAACATTTTCGAAACTCGATGAAGTCGTTGACATGGAGCTTTATTACTAGGGCTGCCAACCCATTATTTTCTTTTCTTATTCATCCTATTAAAATTAAAATATACAGTATAATCCTACACATGTGTACTCAGCTGTAAGTTCCACTTTGTTTCTCGATTTTTTCCAAGGTAAGTATGCATAAAGTTACAGAGTATATTCTCATATCCTAGAAAATCTTGGTTTGATCAGATGCCCTTTGATGTGTTGGATTGTACATCCCTCCCTCCATCCATCCATCCATCCATCCATCCATCTATCTATCTATCTATCTATTCATTCATAACATTTTTATGCTGCCCCATTGCTGAAGCTCTCTGGGAAGGTCACAGCAATTAGATCTATAAAATACAGCATGATGAAATAGAATACAAAAAGCTTTTGTAGTGTGAATCTACAGTATGCAGCCAACCTACAAAACCACAGCGACAAACAGATTCTAAAAATACAGCAACAAATTTAAAAAGATTTAAAAAGAACCAGAAGTGGCTGAACTGCCTGTGATAATAAAGTCTTCCTACTTTACTGAAAAATTTAAATTGTTATTACATTATAGAATGTTTTAGACTTTTAATTTGTTTTAATTCTCAGGTTATCATTTAAACTCTTAGTTATATATTATATTGAACATTATTTTGTCATGGTTTGAGTTTATGATAGTGTTTGTTTATTATTGGTAGATTGTTATATTCTCTATAGGATTGTCTTAGTGTTATTTATGGCTTTGATTCTGTGTGCTTGTGATCCACTTGGAGAATCCTGCTGGACTAATTAGTGGAACATAAATTCAATAATAAATAAATAAATAGTATTGCATACAATATAATGAGAACTGGTGTTTGCTTGGAGAATCCCACCCCTCACCGTGTGCTTGCTTCTCTGCGTATGCTTTTCCTCCTCCAGCCAATGTTCAAGAAGATTCTAAGCCAAGAATGGATCTTGAGCGGTGCTACTCTGGACTCCGTGATCATGCGAATGCTGCTTGTGGTGGAGGAGTTTTTCAAACAGCTCAGCCATCTGAAGAGCTCCATGTGCACGGTAATGCTGCTGCTCCAGATGCAAGTTAAACAGTAATACCAATTTTCAAAAGCGAGGACACGCCTTAGCTATTCCCATGACTTATTTTGCACCACCAACCTCCTCCACCTGGTACCCTTTGTTGGATTACCACTCCCATCAACCTTTGAGGGAAGCTGCAGCCCAGTAAATGCAGGTGGGCACAGAAGCCAGTTGGAAATGGTTGTTTGAAGTGGTACCTGCAATTTTTGTAATGCATCACGGTCAGCAGTGTAGGGAAACAGGGCATTGGCAGGGCATTTCGCAGCAGGAGTGGTGACTTCAGACATCCCTTGCTCTGGCGAGTAAGAACTTTTTAAGATGAGGCTTTATTGTGTGGTTGCCTCGGTTGCTCACGTTCTGCTAGACAGTTTTGTCATACTTCCATTTTGCGTTTATGTTTTCCAAGGGCTTTTGTGGGGTTTTTTCATGTAGGAAATGTGGGGTTTTTTTGGTGCTGTGAAACAAATGGCAACTTTCTTCCAGTGCAGTTGCATTCTTCTGCTTTGTTCAATGCCACCGCACCATCACCTAGGGGGTAGAACAGAAAATAAGGAAAAGGGAGGAAAAGGCTTTAGGGAGAGATCTGATCTTTATTCTGCAAAGAATCTGGACATGGGATTTTAAATTGTATCCCACCCAGGGAGCCTTATGACTAATGGGGCAGGATAAAAGTTGACTAAATAGTAAATAAATAAATAAATAAATAAATAAATAAATAAATAAATAAAAAGCATCAGCCCTCATCCAAAAAAAAACTCTAAATAAGCATTGAAGTTTTACAGATCTGACAGCATCAAAGAAAGAGGAGTCACCAAGGAAAGGTGGGGTACTTCTTCCTATTCCTAGCTCAGATTGGGGTAGTCTACTTGTGCCCCCCCCCCCGATATTTTGCTCTATGACCCCTTACCAATGGCCATGCTTGCTAAAGCTGATGTGAGCTGTAGTCAAAAACATTGCACAAAACTACTCTACACAAAAACACTACAAAACACAAGTTGCCCACCTGCAACTGAATTGTGAGGCAGTTTGCATTTCTAAAAAGTTAGAGCTATACTTCAGCTACCGAAAGATCTTTTGTTAAAGGTCTGTGTGTCAAAAGTAAGCACCACTAATTTCCACGGCACTGACAGTAACTCCCAGATAACTCCTGTGCACAGCATCGCAGTCAAGTTGTTCCTAATGGCTTGGGTGCACTGCTAGGCACTGCTGCTCCTCGTGGACGTGAGTGTATACATGCCGTCACAACCAGCTTGTGGACGTCACAATGTGCCACTCTGCCCGTGGAGGCTGGCTCCTCCAATGGGGGATGCGTCCAGCCTGGACTTGTGGGCAGCTATTCATGGTGCTGAATCTATTTTGGGACTTGGTGCAGCACTGCAGGTGCCACCCACCTCCCCTGTGATGCCCCCAGTGACTATATGAGAAAGCGTGAAGTGAGGCAGACTGAGGAGCAAAAGCTGGAATCCACCCTGGTGAACAAAGTGGATCCTGACCCACTCGAAGGACTGAGCAAAAGGGATCCTTGTTGAGTTTTACCATCAAGCCTACCACCAGCTATCTGAGCAGCCCAGCTTAAAGTTCTCCCAAATACCCTCATTGGTCTTTAAACCCCTGTTATCACATGGACCGTTTACCTTGCGTTTATGTGGCAAAAGGGCTAATTTTCAGAGAAGTTATTGCAGAAAATTCTTGTAGCACAGCTTTTCCCAAATCTGGCTCTCCACATATTGCTGGAGGGCAGCTCCCATAATTCCCAGCTAACAAGCATGGCCAATGAACATGGGTGGTGGAGTCCAACAACATCTGGGAAACCCAGGCTGGGCAAGCTGCAACATTTGCTGTCTTACCAAGACTCAAGAAGGAGACTGAAAAGCAAGGCATTGCACTGAGCATTTTGCATCCAGGAGGCAAAATGGAATAAAGTTGCTCAGGTGATCTTGTCCTTGATCCCCCTACCAATTCTGTTGCTTGTGTAGTCACGATGATAACATTTATTTCATTTGATTACCAAAACAAGTCCCAAGACCACCTAGTGAAACAAAATAATAACAGCACTATTTTGTCAAGGTCAGGCAGGGGCAAGGAAACAGGAATTCTTGCACTGTGTGCATTGACACTTGGTTCATCGTCTCATATCATTATTAGCATGTCTTGGGTTTCATTCAAAACTTCCTGTTGAGAATTTACACTGCACAATATGAGTCATTGATAAGGCAGCCAACTTACCAGAACAAAGAAGAGAAAAGAGGATCATGTGACTTTATCAACTGCCTAGTCTGCAAAAATCAGCAATTGCAGATGGTCTTTGCATGGGCATGAAAGTATTATTAAGGCAAAGAGGGAGGTAAACTGAAATAAAAAAGAGCATTTTGGTAACCCTGATCCCTTAGTCCAAGGATGGACAACCTGTGGACCTCCAGGTGTTGTTGGATTGCATTTTCCATCTGCTCCAGTCAGCACCACCAAAGGGAAGGAAGCTGCAGCCCAACAATGTCTGGAAGGGCACAAGTTACTCACTTCAACCTTGCTTCCCTGTTGAGATAGACATTTTCTTGTATATCAGTTCACAAAATCAAGGCCAGATAGTCATATATTGAAATAAGGGAGTTTTGATATATATAATCAAATATCCCAGTCAAAATAAAATAAAATTGCCCCAACAAAACCCTATTTAAAAGGGGATGCAGGGAGCATCTTTCCCCCCTGAAAAGGGGAGGGATGCACTTCTGCATGTTCTTTTTGGGCAAATAGCAAAGAGTGCATCAAACTGAGCACTACCCAGGCAAAAATAAAAAGATAAGGAAAAGGAAAAGAAAAAGAAAAAGGAAGGGATGCCGATGTGTGCTGGGAGAAAGATATCTGCTCTTGGCACATGTTTTTGGGGCCTGCTGGCCGGACTTCAGAGGTGGTGGAGGAGGAATGAATGCCAATTCCAGACGCCGAGATGAGAGAAGCAGAGATGCTTATCTCAAGGCCAGACTCTCTTAAGTCCCTGGGAATAGCCAAGATGTACAATTATGGGGGGGGAGGGGGGGTTGGAAAAGGAAAATTTCCATGTTTGCCAAATGACGGAAAACTTTAAAGGGGGACGCCTGTATCTATAAACTTGCACTCACTTACCAAGGCTGCACTGGCTTCCAGCAACCACCTTGGTTGTGCAGCATCAGTGGGCAGGGCTAAGGGAGGCTGGTGACGCCTGTGTTGGTGGGGCTTCCTCTGATGTACTTACTTTAGGAAGAAGTTGAGCACCACGAATATCCCTCATAAGATTCAAAGAAAAAGCTGCGATGGATGAAAAGCCCCAGTGACGAAGGCATCACGGAAGTGGAGAGGGCCACCATGTCGCTGGTACGCGGGCCCCAGCAAGATCACCTTGACTCTTTCACTGACAGTCTGTCTCGCACAAAACTGTGGTGAAATGTTGGCCTACGTTTCGAGGGACCGTGTGTTTGGGGCTATTAACGAGGAGCCCCGACTGTATGCCACTGACGCGCTTGGGGGGTTGCCAAGTGAATAGCAACCTGCACTGACTTTATGTTCTGGCCAACCCATGATTTCATGACCAGGTTGTGGTTCTTGTATGCAGGATTTTCTAAATGAAGTTCACAAGTACGTGGTCAAGGAATATATCACTCAAACGCTCAAATCAAAAGGCAGAATAAAACCAGGCAAACGGAAAGACATCAGCAAAATAATGGCCCAGGATGCCACAGCCATCCACAACACCATGCGACATCTGGTGAGTAAATTCTGCCATTTCGCTCTCTCGGGTGGAAATAGATGCCTATGAGACTGCCAAAGGGTATTTCGATACAAGAGAACCAGGAAAAGAAGCAGCTTTGGGGCACGTGGCCATCAAGCTTGGGTCCCTTCTGAAACATGCTTTGGTATCCATTATTATGGCCCGTGACATGGCATCTGCAGCAGCAACAAGGCAATTGTTGGTTTTCCATCAAATGTTGGTGGCACTCTGCTACGGTGGCCTAAAATGCTCAAATTTAGTTTCAATACAAAGGATTAAAGTGCCAGTTCATTTGCTGTTCATTGCTCCATGTTAGGATATTCACTAGCCTCCCATGGACTGCATGCTACACACCTGTTTTAAAGGGTCGGCGTTCCAATAACAGCTCTCTGACATCTCATCTCACCTGGCTCTTTGGAAAAGGTTTAACTCTGTCCAACTGAAATCAGGCAAACTTAAAATTGGCCACTGTTGATAATCTGGCCATAATATCCAAGGTTTACAATGGGGGGGGGGGGGAAGAGAGCATGAATTTAAAATGCCAGAATTCATACCAGCATTTGAGGGCATTATGCATGGTACGAGACTTCTGAAGTTGCATTATGTATACATCGCACTGGTTATGTTAGTTGTAATTCCTTTTAAATATACCAATAAATTCATACTTAAATACACAGAGGTATCTTTGGATTTTTGAGACTTGAATGCTTCTCTCTTACCAGGTCATAAAAGGAAAAGTACGCTAACCATAAATTGTTAAATTGTTCTAGGGTTCAAGTTTTAACTGGCTCCAACTGGCCATTCCATACATTGCTACCATAATTGGTGAGAAGAAAAAGAACAAAATCAAAGATTACATAGCAAGCTTGTCTGACAGCTATCCGGATATCAGGTATGCTGTGCTGACCTGTTAATGACGACTGTAATTAGGTGGGTATGCTAATTTAGAAGCAACAGTGCAAAATTAGGGACCATGACTGTGATTTAAAAGCAATTCAATACATTTAATCTCAGCATAGCGAGGAAGGTGTGACTAGCTGCTCAATCTTTTGCCCAGATCCTAGCAGCCAGTGGCAACCTCATGGCCTGTTCTCCCACCTGGTGGTGCTTCATCTTTTAAACCAGGGCCGGGCTAGACAGCCAATCAAATAGATGCTGCATTTCTCCTCAGTTTTACTTGATTTTGTTCTGTATCATCTGGGGACCTTCTGTGTGTATCTGTCCAGCATTAGCTGCCCTTATTTGGTTTATGATTATCTCTCTGCATAGTTAAGGAGAAAAGAACAGGAAAAAAGCAAAATAGAGGCAGACTTCTTGCCACCCTTTTTCTCCATGAAGGGGCAAAGAATGCTGGACTTCCCTGTTGCAGGATGTCCCATTTTCCTAAAGCTTTGCATTTAAATTGTTTATTTTAAAATTTCTGTTCTGCTCTTCTTACAGAAGTGTAAAGGCTATGAAACCATTATTCTAAAATTGTAAGAGCACGAGAAGGGTGGTAGATCAGACCAAAAATCCATGTAGTCCTCCATTCTGTTCACCCAACTAGCTAACCATCAGATGCTCATAAACAGGACATCAGTGCGACAGCACTCTCTCATCCATGTTCCCCAGAAACTACATAGCATACTGCCTCTAATGCTGAAGTTAGCATATGACCATGAGGACCAGTAGCCAGTGATAGCCTTCTCCTCCAATCCTGTTTTAAAGCCAGCTGCATCAATGGCCATCACGTCATCTTGTGGAAGTGAATTCCATAGTTCAGCCATGTGCTGCTCAAAGAATTTCCTTTCTTCTGTCTTCGGTCTCCTACCCATCAACTTCATAAGATGGCCTCAGGTCCTAGTATTATGAAAGGGGGAGAAAAATATCAATTACCAGAGAAGAAATGCAACTACTGTTTCAGTTTTTGAAAATGTGATTACAAAAGAGTGACAATAGAATTTCCCATTCCTCTAAGCAACAGTAAGTCCCAGTGCTGTCCACTTTTCAGGATTTACATACCTGTTTATTTATTAGATTTATATTCTGCATTCAAAGCAGCTTACATCTCTTCCTGCTGCTCTCTCAATCTTATCCCCACAACAACAACCCTGTGAGGTAGGTTGGGCTGAGAGTCTGTGACTGGAACAAGGCCACCCAGTTGGCTCCTTGGCTGAGTGGGGACTCGAACCCAGACTGCCTGAGTCCCAGGCCTGCGCTCTTAACCACTGCACCATATTTAGGGTGTCTTATATTACCTGCTTACTTAAGAAGTCGGACATGCACACGGTAGGCACAATCCTATGCCTGTTTAGCAAAGACAATGAAACTGAAGCTTCAGGCTCTTCATAAAAGGCAAGGCTTCTCCCTGGAGAAGACCATCAAGCTAGGGAAGGTCAACGGCAGAAGCAGAAGGCCAGACTGGAGATGGCGTGATTCCATAAAGAAAGCCACAGCCTTGAGCTTACACAAACCTAGCAGGGCTGTCAAGGACAGGACATCTGGAGGACACTCATTCATTGGGTTGTCGTCAGTTGGACAACAGATGTGACAGTGGCAAAATCTGGACATGCTGGAGATGGAACGTGGGACTTTCTTCATGCAAAGCAAGTGCTGCCCCACTCAGCTGTGGTCCTTCCCTGCCCCTAGGCAGCAAAAATGCAGGGGGGGAGGGCTTTGCCCTTCTTGCAGTATTGTGTTTTATATACAATTGCCCTGATTACAGAGTAGACAGTCGCATTTTTCACTCTCCAGGGGACCCAGCAATGCTTATTTTGGCCTGTGATAATTTGGGGGGAAATGCTTTTGCAATTGCTGTGGTTCCCTCTTCATTGCCTATGCTAAGCCGATGGGTTGTGACAGCTGGAGGGCCACAAGAGCAGTCCATTCCTGTTTGATATGTGTGTTTTTCTTTGTTTTGCTCCACAAACAACTCATTTCTTTTCTTTTGCAGGAAGGAACATATCTTGGCCATCCTTGCTCTCCGAGGGTTATCACGAAACAAGAGGAACTCAATAGTTGACTGCATGGCCATGGAAGAATTACAGGTTGAACGCAACAGAACACTCTTTGCTGAAATTGAGCTTCAAACTACTGTCCAGTGCTTTTAAAAATGTGCAGAAATGAAATGCAAAGCTAACCTTGTCTTTATGGCTTTATCATCAGATAAACTAATAGTGATCTTTGTCCTCTTTATATAGTCAAAACAGCCCCAGCTACAGACAAAAAGGAGAAACCAGGAGGCTCAGGAAAACACTCATGTTTGCAGATATATATATGGAGGAAAATAATAGATGATACTAATGCAGGCCGGCACTGTGCGCCTGTGAGCCCTGGCACCACTACGTCACCGACGTGGTGGAATGGGAAGCCGGAGGAGAGTGGAGATGGAGTGGGGTATCATGGTCCAGGCCAGGGTTCAAGTGCATTCCACTGTGCAACATTTTCTTGTAGGTCCTAGTTATGAATTATAATGCTTATAGCTAAATTTAGACAATGTGAATGTGTGTTGTTGAAACATGGGTTAGTGTTGTCCGAATCCAGCTGAGATAACAAACCAAGCAGAGCAATCCAACAGCAAACCAACACTTCTCCTCAGGAGTTCTAAGTGATGAACAAGCTAAGTCTTATGAGTACAGATGGTTAACCATGAACAACCCATGAAGAGAACCAATTGTTCGTTTTTGGGTTGAGAACTATGGGTTGTTCATCATGGCTTGCTATCTCAGCTGAATTCAGACAACACAATAACCTATGTTTCAACAGCAACCCATGGTTTAATGACGACCTTCATACAACTCACATTCAATCCCTGAGTGTGGGTTATTTGTGTAGTCTGAACCCAGTGACTGAGTTCATTTACCTGCATCACTCAGTACCAAGTAAATCTGGAAATTTTGTTCCAGCACTTTTTTTATTACCTTCCTCTGGCAGCCCCTGTGCCCTCTGCATTCAGCTGCAATTCTCGAGTAGCTGGGGGCACAGGAATGAAGAATACAGTTCCTCTGTTGCAGTGCAAAGTGTTTTGTCCTTCTTGGTAATGAATGGGCAACTAAGACCCATTAGCATTTATAAAAGACCTACTTCCAGCAAAATGAAAACTGCTGATCTGATGATAGGGTTCGACACAGCTGCTTGGATTTTTGGAGGCCTGCCGCAAGGAGCGCCTGTCCTCCTGGAGATTCTGCATCTGCGGCCTGGTCCAGGCCAGGGCTGCATAACTCCTTTTCTGCCCCATCAGTTTCCTTCCAACATGGCGGACAGGCAGAACATGGACACATCCCTTCTGCCAGAGGACTGAATTGATGGTCATGTAGAAGGCTTTTATTTATTGTATTTATTTTATTTATTTCTATACCGCCCAATAGCCAAAGCTCTCCAGCATGTCCTCCATCACCCTCTCCCAGCAAAGATATACTAAAGATATACAACCTTTAGGGCACTGTCCCATTGCTGGTAGGCCCTGGCTGGTTGGCCACAGGAGAAGCCCTGCCACAACCCCAGAAAGGAGCTCTGAGGTCACGGGGGGAAGGGGACCTTGGCCTTCACAAGGCTCTTCTCCACTCTCTCAACCAGCACAGTTCTTCCACAATGGCAAAAGCTCCGAAGACAGAAGATCATGTTTGGGACAGGGGCTGGGGGGCCTTCCACAGGGAGAGGAGGGGTGCGGGTCTCCGTGACCTGCAGAATCCAGGCACCGCTACAATCTGTGTTCCTCATGAAAAGGGAGGAAAACATTTAGAAGGCCAAGATTGGCTGTCTCAGTATTTCAGAGCTTCTCCTCTGCTCAACTGAATGCCCATAGCCAGAGGTCACTAGAGCAAAGGTAGCTTTATTTAGTCCAGGTGGGGTCATGGTTGGCATATCAGTGTAAGATGAAGAATGCTGCTCTGTGCCACAGAGGCCACCTGTGCCTTAGGTGACAATGCTGCATCCAGCTGCTCTCCCAGGCTACGCTCTTGATCTTTTTGTGGGGCTGCAAACCACCCCCCAGCCCCCACAGCATCACTTAGCTAGGCTGACCTACTAAGAGCACCTCCATCTTATCTGGGGTGGGTCTTAGTTTGCAGGCCTCATCCAGCCTATTACAAGGCCCAGGTGCTGTCCTGGAACACCCACTGCCTCACCTGGAGAGGGTGCTGGGTCTCATCTGCATCATGGAGGAACCTCAGCCCACATCTCTAGAAAACTTCCCTCAGCACTTTCAGTGTCAGACACCTTGGGGGATAAAACCAAGCCCTGTGGAACCCACAGCATAACTGTCAAGGGAAGAGCAGTAATCCCTCAGCATCCTTTTCTGGAACTGGCCACCCAGCTAGAAAGAGGACCAAGGTGTGGCTCAGACAGGCTGTATAGAAGGATACCATGACAGATGGGCATGCTAATTTGCATAACATTGCAGGTGCAAATTTAGGGGAGAAGGCTATAATTAGAATTACAGAGTGCCTCACTTACAGGGAGAGGCCTGACCCATGCCTGGTCTGCCTTGCAGCTTGCTGCCCAGGAACTGAGTGCTGAAGGCCAACTTCAAGGCCCCCGCTGCCTCTCCCTCCTTATGGTTTTTTAACATGAAACCAGAGTTGGACTGGACAGCCCTTCAATTAGAGGCCCATTCCAATGAGGTGTATCCTCTGTAAAGTAGGACACTGGGCCACCAAGATCCAAGAAAATCAGCTGGGCCACATTGCCCTCACCTGCCAAGCCTGCCCATAGGGTGACCAAGGCCATTTCTTTTCTAAAACCAGGCCTGAAGCTTAATTCCAAGGGATCCCTAATTCCATTTTTTTCCAAAGTGCTGGAACTGATCGGCAACTGCCCTCTTCTGAACTTGCCTAGCAAGGGAATGTTGGCAACTAGCCTGTGCCTATGAAATCTTCTGGGCCAGGTCAGGACTTTTCAGGCACGGCCCTCATTAGCACCTTCTTCTAACAAGGATGGTGCTGCACCGTCTCTCAAGGAGCAATTTGCAGCCTCTGGTACCCAGCTCAAGAGCTTGCCTCTTGCAGGAAAGGCCTCAGGCGTCCTCCTCTGCTCCACGACCCTTCTCCCTTCTAATAACGAGAAAGCATTCTGTTTCTTCTACTGCTGGATGTGTTTACTTGTCCCCTATCTAGAGCCAGAAAAAGATAACTTTCTAAGACAAAAATTCTGAAATTGGTCAACTTTCCAAGAGCCAATGGTGTGATGAGTCATGTGAAATGGCAGAAATGATGAGAGTTTAAATTAGAACCAAATTTCCAATCTCACCCACAAAGCTTACTGGATGATGTTGGGATCATCATAATCTCTGTTACCCTAATCTCCCCACAGGGATGTTGTGAGGATAAAATGCAAGTGAGCAGAAAATTATGTACCTGACCTTGTTCTTCATGGAGGAATGGTAGGCTAGAAAATGCAATAAATAAACAAATAATATCTGAAGTTTAGGGTTTCCACCTTAGTCTTCTCTTGTTTGTGCAATTTTTCTTTTTTCATAAATCAATAAACAATAAAAGTATCAACGGTATAACAATATCTCTGTGTGTCTTTCTATTTGAGTTTGTATCAACCAATTTGCAAATCAAAGAACTGCTATGGCAAAAGATAATATAGGTAATTCTGTCTTCAGCTTCTGAGTTTAGCCTGGCTTCCCTGTAAGAGTTCTGACTGGTGTTTTTGTTCTGTCCCAGTTGGACATGAGGTTTTGCCCCTGAAGGCCCTAGTTCACCCTCTATTAGCAATTGATCAGGCCTTGATGGCATGCATTGATTAGCTGTCCCTAGGAAGCATTGTTTGCACCAGAAAACCTAGTCTGGTTTGCACAGCAAACTAGTCCTTAGCCTGGACGAAACCTTCCTCAGACCTGGTTTTCTGGTGCTGCTTTGGATTGCAACCTGAAGGGCCTGGACTTGCATTTTCTTTTCACTTCATCAACCTACTTCTCTTCTCATCTCGTCCAGGCTGCCCATGTGTTAAGCAACTCACTTCCTCAATACTGAACCTATACACCATGGTTGATTGTTTTTTATGTTGGGTTACAGTAAAGGTGAAGTACTGAGCCATGCAAAAGTAGGTTGCATGACTGAACCGTTTAACTGACTAGATAGACACACAACCCAAAAAGTGTCAAGACCAGAAAAGTTTTATGTCTTTCCACAGGGAAATATAAGTTAGCAGAAATTATTATTTTTTCTTAACTTCCCCTGGATTTGCAAATTAGTTAACCTGTGCAAACTGATCAGGCAAATATAATGTGTTTCTCTTTCTGCCATACCAATGAACCAAACATTTTCTTCTGTATCCTTCCATCCTTTCCTCGAACAAGCCTGAAAGCCATTAAAAAGAATATAATTAACTCCTGGCACATTCTTTTTTTTTTTTTTTTTCGCTCTAACTGCAGGCAAATGATTTACACGGTGAGGCATTTGGTTATTTATCTATTTATCGATCTCTTTATTACCACCACCATTCTATCTGCAGTGGTATATTCCAGCAAGGACTCTACCAGGTAATTACTGAATCCATTTGTTTGCGTCAAATTCACACTGGCATTCCAGACGGGGAAACAGCCATTACAGGATAAGAAGAGGAGTGCTTCTTTCACTTCATATTCCCACTGATATCATGCTTTCTGGGGAACTCATTCAAAAGGTGAGCCAGTGATAGTCCACACCCTGAATTGTCCTGCCAGCTGTCAAGAAGCATCGTACCATTTCCCTTGAGTCCTAGGATCAGCACACAAAAAGTGGGCCCACACCCTTTTAACCTCTTGCAATACTTTGGGGTGGTGCTACATTGTGGGAAATTACAGTAGGCTCAGGCGCCCGGCACTGCCAACAGGTGAACTTGAGGATGCTCACTGAAAGTCCCCTCAGACCTGGAGCTGGCTCTGTTAAGGACATTTTTGTTTCTCGATTTATATCCTGCCTTTTCTGACAAAGGGCTCAAGGCAGCTTACATCATTCTCCTCCTCCATCTTATCCCCACAACAACAGCCCTGTGAGGTAGGTTGGGCTGAGAGTCTGTGACTGGCCCAGAGTCACCCAGTTGGCTCCATGGCCGAGCGGGGACTCGAACCCGGATCGCCTGAGTCCCAGTCCCAGCTCTGAACCACTACACCAGCTGGCTCTCTCCATACTTATCCCCACAACAACAACCCTGTGAGG